TAAGTAAAAATATTCAATGTCATCCTAAATCAGGCTTAAGTCTAAATGCTTTCATATGACTTATTAGACACTTTAGTATCTGTTCCTTTTTCATTCCCTTGTTTCTTTTTCTGTAGCTTCCTTACAAGTAGCTTGTGACCAAATCTTACTGAACTATTTAAAGTTCATGATGCTTAGGCCTCTATCATTTTTCCTGAGTTGTTTCCTCTACTTGGAAATTATGTCCTCAATCAACCATCTATATAAATAACTTCTTATACTTTAAGATCCAACTCCAGTATTTCCTTTCTCTTAAAGTTCTGTTAAAACTCCTTTTTGGCCACCCAATGCACAGTGTTTAATCTAGAACTTATTACACTACACTGTAATGTTTAACTTTCTTACTTGACTGTATGTGTCTTGAAGGAAAACTCCTTGTCTTATTCATCTTTATAGGACTAGAACCTAGCCTAGTGCTCAGAGCAAAGAGTTGATATATATTTATTGAGCTATGGGATTAATGAATATAAATTGTTTCCTTATCCAGAAGTAAGTCATAAAATTGGTGACTCTAGCTAGTATTTGGTAATGAGAAACCATATATAATAGATTGCATTGTTGATAATGTGAAACATCAAAATGAAAAAAATAAGTTCGTATTATGGATTTTTTTTCAAAATTAGCAAATAGAAATATCGATTTAAATTATTTAAGAGGAAAAGAAAGTTGTATCTAAGAATTGGTCAGCAGATATTTTATCTTTTATAGGAAAGGCATTTGTGATTTTATTAGAAAACACAAAAGGCACAAATCATAAATTGCTTCTGAGTAGCAACCAGAAACATGAACCGAAGGTCATAAGCGATCAACTGCAGAATAGAAAGCAGTAATTTGAATTATGGATGCTACAGGGGCCAACTACTGCAGGATATTGCAGATCCTCTTAAAGAGGACAGTGGTAGTGGACAGATGCCAATTCTTCAGAGAATGGAGCCTCTCAGGAGAAAGGGGCAACTGCAGCCGTTGCCTTTGTTAACTGAAGAACAGATCGACGACGCAGGCAAACTTCTAAGAGAATGTTTGACAATGTCAAATGTGTGTGAGGAAAGAGGCCTGATATTGGAGACTCAGCTATTCATGAGTCAGAGTTAAAGAGAGCAAAGTTTTTAATTGCACTGGAATGCCTTCTGTCATTTGAAACGATCTGGATTACACAGTTTCTAAATAATCAGATGGTAAGCCAAACCTATGGAATGACTTTCAACCTTGATAAAAGAAATGAGCACAGGCCATTTAGAGATAGTAATGAGGGCAGGACGAAATTTTCCATGACATAAATAGAACACAAAACAATTTAAAATGAAGTGAACAGCAGTGCTGAGATGAAGTAAGATTAATGAACTAATAGTTCAATTGAGGCTTTTCTTGTGATTCTGAAGATTAAGTTTATCAAGGACAAGCTTCAGAGGAATTTCTAAGTCATGTGATGGGATGTCAAGGTCAACTGAAAACAAGTACAATCAAATGGCCCCATGTTCACTTCTACTGTTCCTAGTTTCTTCTGTAATTCTTCGTTCTAAAGTTTAGAAAGCCAATGTTTATTCTTTCCGAATCTAAACTGTGTTTTCCAGTTTTTCTTTCTCTAAAAAGCTAAAAGTAAATCTCTTTTGTATATTTCCCCTGGTAACCTACTTCAACTGAAGCACTGAAAGAGTAGATTACATTTTGTTTGCTCCTAATTATGAAAGTTTTTTTTACACCATGTCACTCTGTTCTCCACCTCATTTGTTCAAATTATTGTGGTTGGTTATTTATGTTCTAAAGTTTAGAAAGCCAATGTTTATTCTTTCCGAATCTAAACTGTGTTTTCCAGTTTTTCTTTCTCTAAAAAGCTAAAAGTAAATCTCTTT